TGATGATGATGATGATGATGATGATGATGATGATGATGATGATGATGATGATGATGATGATGATGATGATGATGGTGATGATGTAGAACTTTGTGTGGGTGTATCAAACATGGAAAATCGTACCAAGTGTTGCAATTTGCAAATGTTTTGCATCGTAAAGGGAATCTTAAATGACTTTACAATTTAGTGCAAATTAAAGAATGACTTTTTAACCATGCGACTAGTGAATACCGTGAAAACACAAAGAGAAGGGAAAAAGAAACAAAGTAGCATAAAAAATGTTGTGAACTGAAGAGATCAAATTGAATTACGGAAATGCATGAAAATACAATGTAATGTTTTATTACGCTTACAAGAGAAATTGAGATTTCAATGTGGATTTGTAATATTTATTTTGTGTGTATGTGTATCACTATATGTTATGTTTTCAATGGAAGCCATATTATTATTATCGTTATATTAACTCGCAATTTATGAAAACTTTTGCTAAACTGAAATCAAACTAAAATTGTTAGTTGTTGCTGGTTTTTATTTATGGATATATATATATGTTTTGCTCGAAAAATTGTGTGCAACCCAAAATTCAAACGGAAAAACAAGCTATAGGTAGAGAAAAAAGAAAAAAACTGTATTGGAAATGAACGCAATCGTAATGGGGAAATGTAAAGTTAAAAGTATAGCATAGTATAGAATAAGATATAGAGTAGAAAAGATATAGAGTACATAGAGGATAGATATAGTAAAGCATAGAAAAGTTTTGTTAAAATAAATTATAATGTTACACCTAACCTTTTTTTGTTTTGAGAAAGTGTATGCTTGTATTTTAGTCCTAGCTTTTTGTGACTGAGAATATTTATCGTTCATGGTTTATTTTTTTTGTGTTTCTTTCTGTTTGAGTTGGTTTTGTTTTTCTCCCTCAACTGACTGTTCTGATAGAATTATTCCTAATTCATTTTTTGTTTCTGTCTGTCTGTTGGTTTATTCTCATCTCGCAAGGGATCTTTGGTTGTTGTGTATCAATTGTTTTTATCTGTTTCTGTGTTTCTGGAATGTATTCATATTGCGAATCGTTTTTTTTTTAATTTTTGTTTTGTTTCTTTGCTGCTATCCAAATCATGTTGTTAGCAATTTTAGCTTGATTTTGTTTTGTTTTTTGTCTTTGGAAACGAGTTTAAAGTGCTTAATTGTGTAGATGTAGTGTAATTTGTGTGTTGATGTCCTTTTATCCTAAAGGATAATAGTATAGGAGTGTGTGTCAGGTATAAATTTGTATTAGTTTGTATTTCATTGTACAAAACGAAAAAAAAAAAACATAAAATTAATCATATAATCAGTTTTTGTTGTTGTTATTTTTTGTGTTGTTTATCATATTTTGATTCAATTTTTGATCAATAAAATTTGAATTGATGACGAAATAATTACGCTGATTTCATGCCAAAAAGCAAAAAAAAATTCGATTTATCGCATCTCATTTGGTTTTTAATGGGAAGTAAAAAAAAATCATTTCGATAATTAATGCGATTGTTATTCAATGATGTGAAAAATGAGCGCAAACTTATTCACTGCTGTATCATTGGCAATGCCGTTTCCAACAAAAAAAGGACCACATAAATCGGCCACAAAATATGATTTACTGAACTCTTCGGAATTCGTTTCTATTGAAATCATTTGATTGACATTCTATATTGAACGATGATTTTTTTCCCCTTCTTTCGGATGGGCGAAATCAACGTATGCTTTTCGGCATGACATCAGACATTTTCAATGCGAGATTGTTCATTTTGTTCTCTTGTGCAATGGATAAAAATATACACATTGAATGACGAAAATAAACAACAAATTAAAGAATGAAAAAACGTAAAATGAACCAACAACACCAAAAACACATGACGGACAACATCAATGGAGGACAACAGAACAACAACAAAAAAAGTGTACGGTTGGAATAAAATGAATGTTAATGTTATTATCATCATCGAAGAAATATCAATTTATCATCTTTCACATCGATTACTTTGGGGCGAACGAAGCGAATGAAAACGAAAAAAATTGAACAACCCACAGCAGCAGCAGTAGCAGCAGAACGGACGGAAGATTATTGATCTTGCAGTAGTTGAAAGTCACATTTTCTTTTCTTGTATGAGTGAATATGTTCATGTGCGCTGCCACGTTGTTCTTTTCTTTCTATCCATTCACTTGCACTGTGCACTTCACAAACAATGGCATTTTAATATTCGCACCACACTCCAAAAACGAACGGAACGCGCGAGCACCAAAACAAAATTGATAGTCGTCTCTTGATTTTTCGTTCGTTTCAATTTCTTTTTCGTGCGCTCTTTTTCTTTTCTTCGTCTATTTCTCCTTTGAGCCATTAAAATGGAAGGTAGAGACGGCTGCGATGGCGACTAAGACGACGGCGATGGAGGGAAAAAAAAAGAAATGTAGGTTATAAAACTTTCTATTCATAGTTAAATGGCATTGTGTGAATGACGCGTTTATTTACCACAAATAAATTATCCTTCTAAAGTTGTCGTTCGTGTGGAACGCTGAATATTAGAAAATGTGTTAGTTTTTGAAAGAAAATTTTCACCTTCTTTCTCTCTTCCATCTTCACGCCCAAAAACATATATCCAACACATGAATATTGCCTTTTGAAAGTTTTTTTTCAACTGCGGTTGGTTTTTTTTCGCTTTTTAATTCTTATTCTTGACGTTTCTCACTCGCTTTTAGCCCCAACAAAACAAAATGGAATGGAAACTGAAGTGGAAAGAGAAAGAGAGAGAGAGAGAGAGAGAGAGAGAGAGAGAGAGAGAGAGAG